GGCAACTTCTTAATTTTATGATATACGAAAACTGAACGAGTGGAGATTTTGAGGATTAACCTTATTAATTAACCTAAATCGCTGCTGATGTTGCAATAGATTTGTCAATTACTTGGATCTGGATTTCCTATTAGATTTAAGCGATGAAAGCGCTGGCGACTTTTTAGGACTGTGAGACCGATGTCGATGACTTGTGGAATCATCTACCATAACAGGGATATCGTTGAAACGTTCAGCTGAGCAAGCCATTGTTTCTACTCCAACACTAATCCTCCCATCAGAAGGCTCTAACTGAAAACAAAACTTTCAGTTTTAAAAAAAAAATATAAAATTTACGGCACAAAATAATGACAACATCTCATCCTCAAGTAGAAGATTATTATACTGTTGATTTTATAGCTGCGAAATATTAAAGTTACTTGCAGTGACAGCTACTGGTATTCTGAGACATAAAAAGCAATGATTATAAAAATAAAAAAAATTTTTCTTTAATAAATTATCAGTTCAAGAAAATGAATCATCGCCTAGACAGTTGGAAGCAGAATATGTTGCTGCACTCCAAAAGGCATTTTCTGCGCTTGCTATGCACACAAGAAGAATTCAAATTTTCGCATGGTTACTGATCAGGAACAGTCAAAAGTTACAAGCTATTTATTATTAATTTCTAAAAAACTGGTATAAAAATGGTATAAAAAAGCTAAAAACGTAAAATAATATTTCAAAATTATTTTCTTGCTTTATTCGAGCATTTTGATATTTCTCTTGTTTATAACTGAAGATAAACAGATTACAGCTGCCTCAAAAACCATGAATAGTAAAGCCACAAAAAACCAGCTGAGGAAGAACAATAACTGCTAATTTTATAAAAATTTTCTCCAAAGAGTCTTGACACTAAATCTAAACCTACAAAAAAATTGACTTGAAGAAGTTCTTTAGATTCTTTTTTCAAACCTCAACCACTTTGGCCGATTCTTTATTGAAACTGATAGCGTTGCGCAGTTTCTTCCGCTTCATAAGATTATCTGAACCTAATTTGTAAAGCTCATTTATCAGATCTGATAAAGTTAGACAGGCAATAAATAATATAAAAAACCTATTTGTTTTATAGAACACATAATAAAAAATCTAGTAACTGTCATCATTACTATGCAGTTCTACGTGTCCTCTTGTCTTACTATTTTCTTCTTTAACTTTCTCATAAAAGCTGTAATTTTAATTGAGTTAGCAGTGTTATTAAATAAATCTGATCTTATACTGATTACAGTCTAAAATATTTAAAAGCAAAAATTTAATAGAAATATAAAATTGAAAACAAATTCTTCTATAGCTGTACTCAGAAGATGCTATCTGCTAATGCCATTTTCAAAAATAGTTCGACGATTTGAATTTTAAAGTGGTAAATTTTTGTGACCTCATGAAACTTTATCAAATCTTCATATTAGAGCTAGCTGTAGCTTCCCATTTGCCACTATGGAATTAATTCTTTTCTAGCTACTATATGCTTACTTTTCTTCGTTTTGATATTCCTGCTAAAAATCGAAAATTTACTAAATTAAAAAGGAAAAACGCTTTTAGCATACTCTCTCCGCTTTCTGCTTCCAAAGCACTGTTTTAACAAAACATGATAAGTTAAAGAAAAAAAAAGAAAAATGTTTTGTCGACAAAAAAAAATTGGCAAAAAAGAGGAAAAAGAAGTTAAGCTGAAAAGACCTCTTACAAGATTACGTTTTTTTGGCGATTTGATTTTTTCCTTGGCGACATCTTTGGCTTGAAAATCTGATGAACTGGGAAAATGATGTACCGTATCAGCTTCATTATTTGGGGGAGTATTTTCTGGTGGTTTCCAATACTGAAAAACAAAAAGAGTTAGCAGCGTGGTTATTAAATAATTTTCTAATGCTGATAAACAGTTTTTCTTAGCTGTTTTAGCACGTGAAATGCTTCAGATCACCGTTGTGATTTGAGCAAGCACAAAATTGAGCAGTTAAAATTCTCCCTTTCTCCTTATTGTCTTCTTGTTAAATTAGGTGTACACAAATGTATAGCAAAAAATAATAAACCAACGACTTCTTAGAGATAGTCATGTGAAAAAAAAAATTTAGTGTAGTAGGCTAACTAAAAAATGATAACTTTTAACCAAACAAAAAAGTAAGTTCAACGTCCATATCTTCTTCTTTCATTCATTATTTCTTCAAACCTCAATTATCTCCTCTTTACTGTTTTCCAAAAACTTGACAATTGACTGTTGAACAGCTTCTTCTGTTAGAACAATTACCAGATACAATTTATTCGATATATAAATTGCATATATAAACATCCCCTCCCAGTGAAAAAAGAGCAACAGAAAAACTCATAATACCAATTTGTAAATAACTTTTTCTACGTACAAAGTTATAAATTAAAGAAAAAAAAATGAACTAAGAAAAAGCAAGAAAAATCTATTTAAAGTTGGGTTTCTGAAAGGTGAACTGATAAGTACCAATTTAAAGCTGCAAAAACAACATCTTTTAAATAAAAAACTGAATAAAATAGAGTAATATTATATGCAGTAAACTAAAGAAAAGAAAAGAGCTGTTTTTGTGCTGATAATTTAAAAAAGTTTCATCGTCGTTACAATAAGAAAAAATAAAGTTAAGCTAATAAATAATTTAATAAGCACACTGTTTTTTTCCACCATTTCTTTTTTTTTTTCTTCTTCTTCTTCTTCTTCTTTCAATATTAAGCTTTGAAAAAAAAGTTTAAAAATCGATAAAGAAAAGCAAAAAATTCTATTTTCTTCTCCAACTTTCCATTTGTTCTTCATCATTTTTTTAGTTCTTCTTATTAATAGCTACAGCTTAAGGTCTCCGACAAAACAATGTTGAGATACAGTATAAGAAAGTGAAACAAAGAAGCTAAGTAGTATGAATACAATTAGTACACTTTACCAATCATAATATACTTAATATCAGTTAGCATAACATTGAAATGCTTTGTATCTGTATACGTATAAATAAAAAACATCATCAAATGATAATTAGTTGTTGTTGATTATTCTTCTGTTCGCATTTTCTGTTTTTGTTTTGTTCTAAAAGTTCACATCAAAAAACCGTTGATTAACCACCGGCATTGAGTCGGACAAAAAGTTGTTCAACAAAAATTGTTCATTAGTTATTCGTTTTGATTGATGATGAATTATAGAAGTGAAAATGAGTGAGTGAATGAATGAATCGACGAATGAACAGATCAACGAATTTGTGAATATTTTCAGTGAACAAAATATACCAACAAAACAGATGAACAAATGAACAGATTTGAAATGTTGAACGGTACAGCTAAATGGACAGACAGACGACGAGGCAAATGTACTGATCGATAAATGAACTGAACAGAATAACCGTACTGAATATGAGAACAAAAATTCGATCATCAATATTTATCAAAAGCTAAATGCCACTGATAATGGCTAACAAAGAAAAATTTTTTTTTCTCGTTAGATAAGGTTTTTTTTGATTTGTAGTAATGTTTAAAATAATCTATTAAATTTATTCTTAAAAAAATTAGAATAAAAATAGAAGAAAAAGTTTTAAATCATTAGACAAAACAAAGACAAAAAAAAAAAA